CGGCCCCGTGGACTCCGCGCACACCCAGACGCGCGGCGGGTTCGTTTGCACACCCATCGATCTTTGTACGCCGTGCTTCATGCCGCGCTGCTGCTGCAGCATTTTCACATCCATTTCTCTTCCCTACCTGATCACTACGGCACTCAGTCTGCCCTGCGCCGCCGTCGCTCCCCTCCCCGTTACCCACACTTAATGACTGTTCTCTTCACGCCCCTCGATAAATCAGTTATCTTCCCCTCCAGATGGGTTCTTGTCCCCTCTGATCAGCTAATCAATTATATTCTGGTGCGGTTGTGCAGTGCCTTTTTTGACACTAAGCTACTGCCTTCCCTTCGCGCTCCTTGCAGCTCCCAAAGTGACACCGGCACCGCTCATCAGATTTAGCTGCAAAAGCGTTGCTGCCCTGTCGGGTTCCTACGACGATCTGCGGGAGCTTTCTGTGGCTCCCGTTGGTTTTAATCCTTCCCTGGAGAGCAACAATCAATCCCACTATTTCTGATGCCCTGGGCTCAGGTTGTTTGATTTGTTGCTTAACGGGATTTTTAGTGAAAAAAGCCTCTCCCAACTATGTTCAGATTTTGTCATGCTCTAGCCCCAAAGAATTTCTTGAATGCTGGGGGTGCTTAGCATCTGGTGTTGTGCTGAATAGGTGGAAGAGTTCTTTGTTTAAACTCTTTCGGCTCTTGACTGCCACAAAATGGTGCGACAGAGGGGGTATTTGTTGCATGGGACCAGAGCACCAAGTGCCTTCTATTAAATCTGCTCCAGAGGATTTCCTGGGAAGTGTTCAGCCTCCATTTCTGTCTGTAAGGAAATCCTCTTATCTGGGCAGAGCAATAAATAGTGCTGCCTTCTGTAATAGAAACAGAAAAACACATTCTTCACATGGCTGTTTTTAAAAATATGTGATTTAAAATATATCAGCTGGAATGATTCTTCTGTAATAAATCCCTGTAATAGCGTGCTATGTATACATTTAACTAGCTGCACAGAGGTAGGGAGAGGGGGAGACAGTGTGTTAAAGGAGAGTTTAGTGTGCATTTAGTAATGACAAGAACAGTAAATAATCCTACAGGTTTACAAACCTAATCCCCAGTGTCTGATTGTAGCCCTCGCGTTTACTAGAGTCAGTTGGAAAGACGTTAAAAGGCTGTAAAGAAAGGGCTTTGCGGGGGGGGGGTATTTTTAAATATTGGGGGAGCTGGCTGGTGACTGATGGTTTTAAGTAGCATGAATGTAGTTGATTCGGGACGTTGAAGGAAAGCTCTAGAAGCGACTGTCCTTCTTCACTTGCCATGGAGTTGTTACATGAGGATGGAGTAGGCTGCACCTCGCTGCCTCGCTCTGCGCTCTTCCCAATGGAACTTTCATTTAAGAACTGGATTTGGGGGAGGGGTTGTTGTTTTTAACGCCCAACTTATTTTCTGCCTGTGCCCTGCAGTAAAGTGGTTGTTTTTCTTAACAGAAGAAATCCGTGATGTCTAAGAGCCATGCCACGTGACGCTACTGCTTTTAAATAAGCTTTTAAGAGGTTGGACCAGATGTTGGCCACATCTGTGTTTTTATTTCGTTGAACATTTCATTTCGACCCTTTTATTAAAAGAGAAAATGATAATTTAGAAATTGTTTTGAAAAGTTTAGCATCTGGGAGGATCTTTCTGGTATATAAAAAAGCAAGAGGTTTACTTTCTGTGCCCTGGAGTGAGCCGTATAACATCGAGCAGATGGATGTTTATGGCTGGTAGAGTCTACTCCTGTTGGAAACAATCATCGTGGAAATTTTCAGATCAAAATGGATGTATTCTGTTTTGGATTGACATTCTGTAACAAAACCCTTTTTTTTTTTTTTTTCTCAGTGAAAGCGTTAAATTAGGAATTTGAAGGCACCTTCTCTTCTGAAAAACCCCTCACATTTAATGAATGTCTATCACCTTGGCAGGAAAAAGGACGACTTGCAGGCAGAGGGATGTCCTGCAGTTACTCCCTCTACTGCTGTTATGGGGGGCTAAGAAATGCTTGTTACATGTAACTTGCTTCTGGATTCTTCTCTGCAATTCACCAGTTGGAGAATGAGTTTTCCATCTCTATTGCTAATTGATCCAATGAGAAAAACTGGCACCTAATTCAGTAACAAGTTATATTTAAAATGACATGTGAAATTTTTCATGGTTCCTGAAATTACATCATTTTCAGTCTGGCATATTAGGGCTGTATAAGGGAACAGACACCTACTGTACTGTGACATTAAATTTTAAACCTCTGATCCAAAAATATAGCAGGATATAGGAGGAGCGAGGTGTTTAATGATGAATAAAAGCAGTGGCAGTTTGATTTCAGTGGGATTTTTTTATTGTTCTTAAGATGCTGTGGCATTTTTTACAACAAATAATTTTGGGATGCAATTTTATGTAAAGTTTAGCAGTGACTTGAGTAGTTCTGTCACCACATCCAAATTTTTATTTTCTAGCACATGATTTTCAGAGCTTACTAGTGGTTTTTGAGGTTGGCTCCCTTTTCCGTTGTCCCTAATTCCAAGCCTGTGTTGATAGTTGTCATTTTAGTTTATCTGGTGCAATGAATATGGAAAAAAAAAAAGAATCTTTTATTCACTCAGATAAACCAAATTAAAAGGGGGGGGGGGGTTCCCCAAAAACATTGAGCAAACAAAAGGTAGATATCAGAAAGAAGGGGGAAGCCATCCCCCCTTCTATCCTACAACTTGGTAGTTAAAGCACTTATCCAGAATATGGAGACCCAGTTCAAGTCCCATTTCTGCACAGACTCCTTCTGACCTAGGAGAGAGGTTATTCTGGCCTGGGCACACTCTTGCACTCTGCTGTCAAGCTCTTTTATTTTGACCCAGGTGTACAGTCTCCTGGGAAGGCGTCTCAGACACTGGACTACAGTATTTACTCCTTTCCACGGTGAATACTTAAGCATTTTGCTCACTGGAAATTTATATCTCCATTCCAGCAGGAGAGACGTGTAGTGCTGTTTTGCAGAACGCCCTGGACTCCCGTGGGTGATGCAGCATACAGTGATTCCTCTCTGTGCTTTGCATGATTACGGTTTGCTGTGAAAATTCCAGTGACTTACACTGAAGAGGCAGCAAACCACCAGGATGTATTTTGTCACCTTGCTTGTCCTCTTCAGTCTCCAGAGTGTGCTTTGCCGTGTCCTCGGGTTGCATCCCTGCCTGCCTGGTAGTGGGGTGCCTGCACGAGGAGCTGGTGGCCCTGGTGCAGAAAATTCTGCTCTTACTGCACTATATGGAGATCACACCAGAGGAAAAGCATATCTACTGAACAATTACATAGTTATTATAAAATCTTTTACGCTTTTAAAGTATTTTTGGGGAAGAAGGTTGTAAAGTGAATGTGGTGCCTGGGACCGAAGTACAGTTAATTTCTAAGAGTAACAACAATAAGTGATGTTCCTTAAGGTCCTCTCAGTCCTATTAGCATCAGATTATCGGAACTGATAAAGTTGATGCTACGTTTATGAGACAATCTCAGGAAAAAATCAAAGCACACTGTTATGTTCCTTGTGACAGGACATTTTCTTTAGGGTGAAACCCATTTAGCATATGACTTGGTATGGAAAGTTTAAAGCTTTCTGTTGGTGGTTTAAAATAGACTTTGAAAAGACATTTGTAAGTGCTCGGTATCTGATACCGGTAAATGTCTGTTGAGTTGAGCAGCCAGACCCTTCCAACCACTTCAAGGAGTGCAGCCTTTATTCCTAACCAGGTGTTTTGGTTGGATTCCCGACCCTGTGATTTTATGTACTTCAGGCAGCTGGCTTTAAACACCTGAGTTTTGCCAGGCAGAGCATCATTTGTATCTCCTGGGAATGCTTGTAATGCCTGCCTTCGGTTGCCGTAACCTGCCGTTGGATTGAAGAGCTGCATCTGCCTTCCCCCTCTGCCGGTCCTGCGCCGCGCTGCTCAGGAGCTCTGCTCCGCAAGAGAGCACCAGGCTGGGGAATCAACCTGTTCAAAGGTCTTGGTTCATGTGGAGGAACATCCCCAGGACGAGGGAGCAGGAACTGTGAAGATGCCAAGCTGTTCTGTGCCATTTTGGTTTTAATTCGTTATTGCAGATTGTGGAAAATTTGTTTATTTTTTTCTACCTTAATAGCCTATTACTTCTATACATTAATGTGATGTGGAAAATCAGGTTTTGCTGCTGTGGCCTGTGTCCCAAATTAGGCTTCAGTTTTGTGCTGTTATGCTTTTTAATGGATAGAATATTAAAAAAAATGTTTTCAGAAGAATTCTTAATAAATACAGAAGTCTTCATTCTTAATAAATACTAGAAAAATTACAGTGAAATTGTAATTACAGAAGGTCGTTATTGTTTAACATTTATCTAGACCCTTCCATAGCTTTTAAAACTTATTTTTAAATTTGGAAATGTTTTAATAATTCCCATTTTAGATGGAAAAACTAATACACATCTTTTTACAGAACTGGTATGAGGTAAGTGGCTCAAATGATGATAGATCAGAATCAAGAAGAAAGACATCGTATGACTGTCGGCATGATGTGTTATTCACTGGTCCACGCTGCTTTTCAGAAAACAAAATATTTTCTAAGTCATAATTTACAGATAAACCATTGACCTATAGTCTCTGACAGAGAAATTCATGTTATCATGAAAGAAAAATAGTCATCTTTTTAAAATGGTTTCCCCAGCTTCCTCCTGACCATTTATGGGAAAAAAATGGGAAAAAAAAGGCAGCTGGAAGTGCCTAACAGATTTTATTACTGAAGAAGTCTGTGCTGATTCCTGAATTTGAAATTAATTCAGTGTGGTCAATTTGTGCATGCGTGTACCCCCATATTGAAAATACTCAGCAATGTGTTAAACCTCCTGGATGAATGCAGAAGGATGCAAATCTCTGAAGAACAATCAATAAGTGTTACTTTACTGAAGAACTTAAGTTGCTATAGATTTTGAACAAACATCTGCATGATTAAAATGTGTTCTTTTCTGTAGGTGAGAATACAGGAGATGGTGAATTAGATCTGAGCGGGATCGACGACAGTGAAATAGATCGGGTAAGGTGCCCTCTTGTCCTGGGTGTCTCTGTATTTGGATAAGAAAGACAAAATGGTTCTTGTCTGGTTTATCCTCTCCCCTCACTGCCACTTCACTCTGATCTATAGAGAGGTTCAAGCGATTTCACTGATCTGAGATCAAAACTAATGTTCACGCAAGCCTGTGAATTTGGTGTTCCTTGCCCAAGTTATATATATGTATGAGACTGCTGCTGCTGCTCACTTTTACAGTGCTGGAATGATTTAGAATGTCTTTTATCCTAAAGAAGGACTTTTAAAAGTTTGGTGGAACTCTAAATTCATTATTTAATGAAGATATTTTCAACATAAGAGGTTGACATGGAAACCAAACTGTAAAACCAGCATGTACAGCTTCTGTGTTCTTTCAAAGATTTCTGTAACATTTTCTGGATTTATTATTATTTGTGTGGCAGCAAAAGATGTCGTTTACCATATAGTCTGAATATGACAGACATATGTGGAAAATGGCTTGTTGAAGACCTCACAGCAGGTCAACACTTGGACACACGACAGTGTTTGGCTGTCCTGACTCTGAGCCTGGTGCCCTCTCCAGCCGCCACACTACTTTAAAGTGTGATTTGAACAGATAACAGAAATGCTAAAAACTCCTTTTGGGGTACATAATCTTTGAGAGCAAAGAGGTTCTGGTCTGCAGAACCTTGTTAGTGATGGATGAAGGAGCAGGAAAATGCTCAGCTTGACTTCAGCCATGAAGTGGGTTTTGCTAGGCTGGGAGTTAGGAAGGATCTTGTGAATCAAGCGGACGTGGTATGGAGAGAGCGGGGAGGCTGAAGGGTTTCAGTGTAGCGGGTCCATAATTTAAACAATCGTGAGGGAAGAACAAGCATGTTTTCTCCTGCTCCTAGGCTGTGTGATGAGGTCATAACTCTCCTTTTATGACCTCATATTCATTTTTATGGCAATAGACTGTAATATTGTAAGCCCAAGATTATGAACTCTCTAAAAGCGTAAGGATGAATAACTGAACTAGAAGGAAGCGAGTTTTACTATTATGGGCCACTTTTAATAGAAGCAGATGAAAAAGTGAAAATATTTGTCTGATAAACCAGGACTTGCACAGCTGTTTGCTTGTCTCGCTTGCCCTTGGAGGCAGGACTCCTCTCTGCATTAGTTTCATTTGACTGGAGTTATTTTTCTCATAAAATCCTATATGTACATTGTACTTTGGAGAAAATCTCAAATGCCCAAACCCATAAGATGGAGAAATCTGAAATTGTTTTTCTTGCACTTAAACATCATTTTACAAGTCTTGAGTCCACTGCTTAAAAATAGTGTCATGTTCATGAAGGATGACCTGATTTGTCTTCTCCGTTCTGCATGAGTTCTTCACTCCCAAACAGTATCAGCTGTAGAGAACTTTTGTTTCACAGACAGTTGTGCTAAATCCTGGGTTTATATTTACATTTAAGTAACTGGACATCATCTACCAACCTGCCATCCTGCCTGCTACCTACCTGGTTGTTGATTTCTGTAATTCATCTAAATAGTACAGCTCCACACCTACTAATGATGTTACCAAGACTAAGTGGAGTTAACTGAAAAAAGTCTAGATGTGGTCACTGAACCCAAGTCTCTAAAATCTAGAGGACTGACACTCTGGCAATCTAAGATGGTTTCATTTACACAGATGTGGCCATTGAACTAATAATCTCGGTAACTGTGCCTAAACCTTCACAGAAACCTACCCCGAAGACACATGTTTCTGTTTTGGTAACGCAGGGCAATGGTTCCCATACTGTTTTCAATCACAGACCACCATCAACACACAGAATTACTTGCAGACAACCATGTTGTCATGATACCCTCTCATATCATCTGAAAAAGATCATAAACCCAGGATCATTTTAGGTTAATTACAGACCACGGACAATGAGTCCTGCATGGGGTTTGGTCACCCCATCACAGTTTGGAAACCAACGCTGTTTTTTGAAAACATGTTGTTGTTTTTTGCCAGCGTTAGAAGTTAGTTGAAATGCTCTCTGATTGTCACATCTTAGTCATGTTTTCTTTTATTAATGTTTTTTTAAAAACAAAATGTGAATTGACCTTGCCAGTGGTTTTTCAATTCAGTTTTGCTCTATGGTTTTCAAGCTGATTTCTGAAAGTAGATAAACTGGTTTTGTCTTTTAGTATATACTTAACGAAACTGAAGCTCAGATAAAAGCAGAGCTGTGGATGAAAGAAAATGCAGATTATCTCAAGGAACAAAAAGGTAAGTATGTAGGACTGAAATTCTCCTTTTGGCTGGTGTTGCTGAAATATGCAGTCTGTGTAATCTTCATGCTGGTTACCCTTTTGTCATCTTTCAGAAAAGGAAGCAAGAATAGCAAAAGAGAAAGAACTTGGGATTTATAAGGAACACAAGGTATTAAACTGTGTGCTAATTTTGTCTGTCTGAAAATGTCCTGGAAATTCATTACATTTGCTGATCAACACTGTGTAGGATGTATGGGCATAATGATACAGGTCACCACTAAACAAGCAAAAGCTATTGTATCTTGCCCAAACTTTTAAATTACTATTATGAGAAAATTCTGTGCATGGCAAAGTCAGAGGTAGCTCTTTGCATTTATGATTGCTGTCCTAATTGCTTGCTTATTTAAACACAGGTCTTAAGACATGCCTAATTTTTTTTTAGCGTGTGCATGGAGAATTTGTTTGTACTTGCCATAACTTCAGTAGCTTTCTTTGCTCTTACAATAATGATTTCTTTATGAAGAACTGAACAGATCCTTGTTACAGTCATTTGAAGGAATATTTTGTTCTACCTTTCATAAAGAATGCGACTGTTATGTTAACAAATGGCATGTCCTGTCTCCATGTTTAGCAGTTTAAAGCAGCCTAATTGGCCATATAGTCACGATTTACAGCGTTAGTATTTTGTGTAATTGAGCAGGTGACAAGTCAAATCTTCCACATGCAACTAAAATCCATGTTAGTTTTTAGTGCTTATATCCTCTATCTTTTTTTCTGACTAACGCGAAAGACAGTTTCCTACTTTCCCTAGGTATTTCAACAATAAAAACAAAACCAGACAATGAAACACTGTTTTATGCTTCAGAATTTCTCATTCATCCTGTGCTTACGCAGACATGGCAGTCTACCAGCAATTTTCAAAATTGTATAACTCGTTGGCACTGCCAAGTAGCCCAAACACCCACTTTTTTGTTCGGACAACACAGGAGTTTTTCTCTAACTCTGTATTGTTTCTGACAGCTCGAGTAGAACTTGATTAATATAGTGCTTTCCAATTTCAAGGTAGCACTTGACCCATGTAGGTAAACAGAGGGGCTATTATCCATTAAAAATAAATCTCCTGCAGAGCTTGGTGTTAAAGCCTTCCTTTGAAAAGGAAAATGTCAAATGAGAAACAGAGGTTCTTTTTTTTCGTACCTACCCAGGCATGGGACATGGCTAGAAATGTTCTCCGGTGTCATTTCTCTTAGTCTGGCTCTGCGCAGCGTCAACCTCCGCAGCGCAGCGCTGGGCTTGGGCTTGCAGCGTTCGCCCGGGAAGGGCAGTTGCACGTGACATTGCTGCTGCGCTCGTGTGTCTGCAGCCTCCTGCTTCCTATCCGTCGGTGTTAATGCCAGTCCACGCTTAGAAAGCTGCTGCTAATGTTCTTGGCGTTTTTCAGTGTGGAGGAGGAGTTGGGTAGATGCTCTCCTACGCCGCTTTCGGACTTGATATAAAATACTGTTGCAGTTTTGATACGGAGTTGTCAGTGGTTACAGGAGTCGTGACCCAGCTTGGCTCTAACTTTAAAGGCAATTTCTTTATTTCCATGCTGGGTGGTGCTATCAGGGTCCCTGTAACAGGAGTTCACTCCTTTTTTTTTTTTTCAATGTGTGAGAAACAGCCCATATTTCTTCTCCTGCAGCATTACAAATACTAAGTAAAGAATGTGTAATAAACTGTGTGGGCCTTTGGCAAAAAGTGAACACTTGTCTCTTGGAGAAAAGGGACCTCTTGGTCCTGTTGAGTGGCAGGAGAGGGAGCGCTGGCTTAGCCTGGCCGCATCGCCTGCATCCCCACATCAGCAGCACCTGAGCCAGGACTGCTGAAGTGCAGCTCACCCTTCTGCTTCACGGAAACTTTGTTTGTACCTACATCACTAATTTTATATTTTAATTAAGCCAAAGAAATCTGCAAAGAAGCGGGAGCCAATTCAAGCCAGCACAGCAGGAGAGGCAATTGAAAAGATGTTAGAACAGAAGAAAATCTCGAGTAAAATTAATTATAATGTGCTAAGGGACCTGAACAGCAAAGGAAGTAACACACCAAAGAAAGAGGATGGCAGCACTGATGACAGCACCAACACCAAGAAGCTGTCAAGAAGAAAATCTATTGCCAGTAGGAATATAGCCAACCCTGTAAACAGTGTGGGAAAAAGGTACTGCAATTGTTCATTTATATCTCTGTCTGTGAGACTGTCTATGTATCTTTCTGAGCCAGACAATGCAGGGACTGAAACGTTTGTTTGAGGCTAAAATAATGTTGGGGCTCTGTTTTTATTTATTTTGCCTGCAGTGTCGCAGAGGCACCTTATTTATAGTGGCACCTTATTTATAGTTCATGTATTAGAGGTCTGCTTTGGTGCAAGTTAATCATCCTGAATCCAAAAAACAAAAAAAAAAATCAATGGAAATTCATAAACGTGAATCTTTCAGCTGGGGACACCTTTTCTTCATATAATCCTGACATTTGCTGTCCTGCCTTTCAAAGTTGTCCATATCAGCTGACACGACACTAAATGTTAGCAAGCTTTGGCTTTTTAGCTTGATTTGAAAAATATAGTTCCCATCTGTTTTGACAGCTAGCTGTTTTGATTAGCTTTTATTTTAGTTTTATTCCAAACTTTTGTTGTTAATTGATGACACAAATATAAAGCTTTACAGTAAATACGCTTATTGGTTTTCTGGTCTACGTTTGCAAATGTTTTATAGTGTAATGAAAGCTACTATTTTAATGAGTAAAATATTTGACTTGCTGGGCAGATTTGTAGTGTGCTGTAAAGTGTAGAAGGAGATTGATGTGTCCTGTCTGCAATATTTAACTATTTTATTCGTCTTCAGTTTGTGAAATCGTGACAGGTGATCATTTGAATCGTGTCTATGTATAGTATTTTCTTACTTGGGTGTTATTTATTTATTTATTTGCTACCTAAAAGACATAGGTTTTTGCCTCCAAGAAGTATAGGCCAAACCCCACGAGGAGATTTAGGTATTAAAGTCTGAAACATATGGTGATGTCTTTGCACCAGAGTGAAGATTTAGGCATGTGTTGCAACCGAGTAAAGGACCAGGGAGGGCAGAGGGGCAGCCAGTCACAAGGTGCGAGGAATCATCTATTTGTGAAGAATGGGTGGTGTAGGATACTTGAAAATGTGAGGCTGGGAGGCATTCTAAGTGCAATAAGAAGCTAAGCAAAATAAGGATGACCAGACCCAACGCCTTCATTTGACAGCGAGGCCAGAGGCATGGTCTTTAGTTTTGGCTGAAATGCCAAATGCAACAGCCAAAGCAAATTGAAGACCACATCACTGGCCCCACTGTCACCGGATACAGGTTTTTGCATATACAAAACATCTGTTCTGTCTCTGTTGTACCTTCTTTATTCTGCATTTTAACAAGATAGCTTCATCCTCCTCCAACTTCTCACCCTTAATACCAACAGTTTCGCTTCCCAGTTCTTGTCTCACTGTGGATTTTAGTCTCCTCTGTAAGTTGCTACTTGAGGTGATGTCTAATGACCCAAGCACGTAAGTTTTCCACCAGTGAAGGAAAGTGAAGATGCGTTGAGGATTAGCTAACAGCATTTAGCCTATGCTTTATTTGTATTTAACAGGTATTAATGAGTCATATTTCTGGTATTTCTAGTAAAATGTAGCTGATTCAGTTGTCTGAAATGCAATGCTGTGGTGGGAAGTAGGGGCTCATAAGGATCCCAGTTGCATTTCAGAGCTCAGCAGTAACATCCGTGCTCAAGCTGCTTTGCCACATCCAAACCTTGCCACTTCGGGGGTTTGCAGAAGTGTTGGGCACTTGGAGCTCCTGTTGAAGTCAGCATGTTAAACTCTTAACAGGTGTTAAACTCTTTGGAAAATCATGCCATAAATATTTAATTTAATGGTGGTGCAACTTGAAAAGGTTTCTAAATAAATACAAATCAGTATTTTCCAAAAGCAGTTAATAAAACATGTTTATTTTTCCTCTTGAGAGCCTAAAGTACGTCCTTAAGATGCATAACAGAGTTTCCTGATGATGATTAGCTGATCTTGGATACAATGAATTTTGCAGCAGAACACTTCAGAGGAGGTTGAGAATACATGCAGATATGTGAGTAAAGGAGATTTTGCACTCCAGAAGCAGGCAGTGTTCTTGCTTAAATAATATCAAGGACTTGGCAAACCATTAGTTAGACTTTTTTTTTCTTACAATTAAAGATTTATGACATACTTTTGATTTTTTCGCTAGTAGTCTAAATGCCATGCCTTTTAAATGGCGTGCATAAATTTCTGTGTTCTGCATTGTTCTTATATGCCATGCGTTCATTGCCTTTGTTCAGCATTGTTCCTCTGAGAGGTGAATGGCTAAATACTTTCCCAGTGATACAAAAATCATGGTAATTTATATGCGATTAATAATAATAAAAACCCTGAACATTGCTCATTAGAAAATGAATGGAGCATGTAATGTATCTTTATCCAGGAGGCATTTGCAGAGATCTTGCTAACCATTTGGGTTTGTAGTGACTTACAGTCCTGCATGTTTATCTTTATATATGTCTTAAATATTTAGTAAGCTGCATCTGACTGCAGTAGCACCTTGCATAACCATGCTTTGATCCGATCCTTTAGTTCCTCTCAGTTATAGTCAGATTTTAAAGAGCTACTCATTTAGTCCTTATCCCAATTAGAAGGTACCAGTACCAAGTTACAGGGCGCTTTACAGCCTAGGAAAGGAATACTCATTCTTGGTGATTAAAGCAGCACTTCTGTAAAGGTATAAAATTAGGAAAGTAGCATTATTTTTTAAAAATCTTTATTGCTTTCCTTTTGCAAATCAAGATTTTACATACCTCACCAGGTTTGGACAGATGATGCAGCCAAGTTTGTCATGTATCTTAGAAATCATCTTCATATACAGTATGTAGCACCTTGGAAATAGGAAGTTGATCTTCATCTCCATCTTTCTAATTGCCCCTTGCTGTAAAATACTCTGTGCTGTTATTTCCACATAGAGGACTTCAGATTATCTCTAAAAAAATGATTACCCCAGGCAGACGTGGTACAATCTCTGGCTGGTTTTTCTTTTTTTAATATGACATAAAGTAGCAGTTACAGTGTTGGAAAAGCTTTTGTTTACTGATGTGATAATGATAAGCAAATTTTACAGTCTTGTAAAAAATTGTTGATTTGCAAGAAATTTACAAAGAGCTGGAATGCTAAGCATAGTCCCAGGAGCATGCTTAAACTGGATATTCTTTCAGTTTGTAGCCCTTTTAATGTAGCTTTATTGCTACCATAATCACTTAATGGTTACTTGGATTCCAAAGGCAATATAGTCTATCTATATATTATTTCATAAAAAAATCCTAATTTTGAAATCTCTGAAATGTTTGGTATTTTCTGAAATTTTCTTCCAAAGATCATACAGATTTCTCCTTTCTAGATGAGCAGACATTATATACATCAATATTTTCAGAAGCAAACTGGATTTTTGAACAGATTTCTTTACTGTGACTGCTGTGCAACTTTTTGAGTTTCAGGAAAAGACAACCTTTTCTCAGACACATCTCCCAGAATTATACTGGGGTGTTACTTATTGTGTCTGTCAAGATGGTAGAAGACTAGTAATGACAGTGTAAGTAATTTTATCTTGTGTAAATGTATTTCATTACACTTCTTAATGCATTTTTGTTCCACTGGTATCACGATCGGTGCTTCATAAGCAAAAGCCGTTTCATTCTCTGTGTGTTTGAGATATGGCACAGTGGATGTTACCATAATAGATGTTGCAACTTTAATTTCAATTACCAGTTGCACAGTTTATCTTCACTAATGTCTTCTGTGCGTATGAAGCATAGGAATAATATGTTGAACTCCTAGAAAAGAATGATTGCCACTTTGAGCTACTTAAAACCTGAACTGCAGTTAGAACTGAGCCATGTGCTGGAGCTCTTCAGGTCCAATAAAGAGGGGTTTGGGGACTGGAAGCTTTTGGTTAGAAGCTTAATAATTCATTTTTTATTTACTTGAGCTGAATCTTACAACATTACTTGTGAAGTGAAATGTGTTGTACCAAGAAAATGTGGAAACAAGAAACCTTTCAAGTCACTACTTTTTAAAAATTTTAATCCTATTTATTGCTATGTGCTTGAAATTGGTAATGATATCAGAAAAGACAGGATGTATTATCAGGGGAGTAAATGTGTCAGGTTAATCTCCTGAAGAATTTGCCTTGGAAGAAATGAAGCAGGACTGCGAAGCACAGCTGAACCCGTTGTAATGAAACAAGGTTGTTCTGAATGGAAGCATATGAATATATAATAGAAAACCAAATCATGCCTGCTATGGATATGACAAAAGCCCTTGGTAGAGATCTCATTTGATTAGATTTGGAAATTCACCTCCAGATTCTCTCCATGGTCTCACTTGTACTTACCAACTATCCATTTTGCTTGTATACGTTGACACGTGGCTCCACCTGTGCTTTGGAGCCGGGGGATCTGTATACTGTGAACCCTGTGTTTGCGGGACCAGGGACTTGTTCTGCTGCTCAGGTTCCTGCCCTGGGATGCAGGCTTTCAATTAGCATCTGCTCAGCTACATTTTTGTTGGCTTTTCAATGGGTGTCATGACCTCAGAAAAATCTCCTTTATTATTAGGAAGAACGTATGTAATACCTTTCTACAGCCGAACATTTAGCATCTCATTTAACCTGATAAATTACTTGGTACTTTCTCGGCTCTAATTGGAATCACATTCCCACAGGGGAGTAAAATATGGGCAGAAGCCTAATTTAGGTGCTTTGGAGGAGCCCAATGATCCCATGCTGCAGAGGGAGCCCGGGGAGACAGAGTCAGCTCCCTGTGGCGAGCTGGGAACACTGCCCCTAGCTGCCCCCAGCTCCCACCCTCATTTACAGTTGGCCCTTTCTGGTGCCCAGGATGGCAATATCCTTCCATAAGGTGGAAATTTATTTTGATTTCATTGGCTTTGCCAGATTAATTTTGGTAAAGTTATGGGAGGGAGGGGGCATGGGGTGCTATTTATCGCACCCAGCCTGAAATCTTCCTCTTCGCTTATTGATACTGTGGATGTCCAGCAGAATCTGTATTTCTTTCTCCTGGGGAATAAAGAGGGACGAATCCCCAAACCACCTCTACGCA